AAAAAAAAAAAAAAAAAAAAGAAAAAAAAAAGAAAAAAAGATATTTGAAACGTTTCACTTTCCGAGGAGAGGAGAGGAAAAAAAGAAAAAAGATTCCTACCATCCCCCTCTTTATCAATTTTCATCGTGACTCGGCTCGAACCATTATCTCGATCGTTCCGCGCGCCTCCTTTCGACGAGTCGTTTCGAGGAGGCAACGACGTTTCCGTGACAGAGCTCGATAACGTGGAAAAGGATGATCGAGCCGTGGTGATGGCCGTCCACCGTGCTATGCGTGTGCACGGTTGGTTCGTGACCTTGGCCACTCACGAGCCACGATCGCGAGCCCGGATAATGGGCCGCTCGACGGGGTAATAAGATAAAATTCCCGATCGGTTGGTTAACCTGGAACTGGATCAGGATCTGGATCTGGATTTTACATCGGATCTAGATTCTTCTGATCGTACAGAGACTCCTGGTGGATCGTGTCGTCAGGTGAGCGCGGAGAGATCGTAAAGAGGCCGACCAGTGGACTCATTGTCAGTGGTATTTCCAATTGGCCCGTTGCGATCTCTCGCGAGGAAACCGGTTCGACGACCGGCTCTCTGCCTTCGACGATCCCCCCCTCGCCCCCTCTCTCTCTCTTTCTCTCTCTTTTTCTCTTTCGTTGCCCGCTTGCCTCCTCGATTCCAGCCGCGAGTTACCTGTTGTCCCTTCCTCGTCTGCATCGCGTCGTCCTCTCCTCCTTCCTCCAGCTTGGCGAACGTTCACGTTCCACCTTCTTCGCGCTGGCTACTAGTCTCTACGTTGCATTTCAGTGTTTACGCGGCGAACTGTACTGCGACTGCGAGGATCGAAGGACGAGCGCGAAGCAGGCAGGCAAGCATTTCTGCCCGGTGCGGTGCTTAACTCTGGACAGAGGTTGGTCAGAGGTCAATCAACCAACCTCGAAACACGCATCCGGTTTGGCAAGAGAATCGAAGAAACAAGTGACGCGGTGGTGAAGCGCGATTCCGATTCGTTACGCACATTTTTTCAAGCACCGACATTTCGATTACGTTGTGTGCCAAAGTTTGAACGAGAAGTCGAATCGCGAAAAACATTTGGAAAAACTTCGTTCTTCTCGACGTACAAAGTTTTCCCCGGAGCATGAGCGGACGTAAACCGGGGAAGATCCTTTTTCTACCTCGTGGAAGAGGAATGGCGTGAAACCTCGGCGAACAACGGTCGAAACCAACCTTTGTTTCTTCCTCGATCTTCTCTGCCCATTTGCTCGGACCACGCTTCGATCCGTTCTCGGAAGAAAGGATACGGACAACGAGGATGGATGTACGGTTCGACGTTGGACGCGAAGCCACTTTGCCGAGGAACGCGTGTGCCAAGAAAATCGAGATTTAAACGCCTCTAGCCGACCTCTTCTTTCTCTCAACGACTCGTCCTCGAACATTTTTATACGGTTATTGACGATTCCCCCCCCTCGACTCGTGTGTGCGACTCGTTTCGAATATTCAGTGTTCCCGATCGGCAACACCGAGATAAAAGTGTGCGGCTTAGTGTGCGATCGCGATCGATCGCGACTCGAAAGTGTCATCGCCGGAGTCTTCGTCGTGTTTTTCCGTTTCGACCATCCCAAGATTTCAACGATCGAGGAGGAGGAGGAAGAAGAGGAAGAAGAAACTTTCTCCCTCCCCCCTCGAAGAGATCCGTCTCCTTGGAATCGTTCCTTGCTCCCAGATCGCGGCAAGAAAGCGCTTAAAAGCTTGATTAATCGCGCTTGGAGGCAGACTGGTGACCGGTGCACGGCAACCATGCATCGGTCGGGTTGTGCCGCTCGCTCCAGAAACAGCGGAGCGAACGTCGTTTC